TTACGTATTTTTGGCGACTCCATCCCACCGCGCACATAAGGGGTCGTCCATAAATGACGTCACGCACCTAAGGGGGTGGGGGGGGGGGGTCAGACATTTGTGACGATGTGTGACGATGGGAGGGGTTTGAGAAATGTGACGTCACATCAAAAAGCGCAACTTTAAATAAATATAGACAACACGTTCTACTTAATGAAATAGACTTTTGATTTAAAGCTTTCGTGACTGCAGGGATTCATATCCTTAGTTATTTCGGTAAAGTCACGTAGAAGGGAAACAACAAAATAATAAAAATATAAAACAACAAAATTCTCACGACGTTTCGACTGCAACACAATCAATCATCATCAGGTGTGAAAACCACAAGAAAATTTGAAAAAAGTGGCGGTTATTTTTAACGTTGTTTTATATTTTTATTATTTTGTTGTTTCCCTTCCTACGTGACTTTACCGAAATAACTAAGAATATAAATAGACTTGTAAATAAATGTTTTCTCCTACAACATCAGAGTGCAGCGGCGCATTAAATAGGCACTACAATTGTAGTGGGTTCCAGTGATACGGAGACGGTAGAGTAGAGGTAGCACTTATTTATTTATAACAAGGGGTCACACAGAAGGGGTAGCGGCCCCTTCACCCGAATACGCTTAGGAATATCCCCCTAGGCTATCTAGCCTAAGCCTATGTTCCCCGATTCCTCCAGCTAAGGGCTCTAGGGGAGGCTATCTGATCTGGCCCTGGTTAAGCACAGATCACGGCACCCCACCAACCAGACCGGCCCTTAGAAGGACGTCGGCTCTGTGGCTTCTGGGGCCATACCACTGGCTTGCCCTGCCGATCCTGAGAAGGACAGCGGTCAGGGGAGTCCCAGGGTTCCACTTAGCGGGTCTTCCTTCTTCGCTGGTACTTCATTCTTGGCCCCAACACACACTGCCCCGAGCTCTCTCACTCCCCGCCCTTTATACCCACAAACCACTGGGCGGGGCTGTAGAAGCGGACGTGGTTGTAGCCACCTAGGATCACACCAAGGATCGGCTGTACCTCTGCATCTCACAACACCCCTACACAATGACAATAGTTTAAAGCGATTTGAAGCATGTTTTTTTTTGGGGGGGGGGGCAGAGCTTTGTGACGTCATATTTGAGGGGGGTGGGGGGTCTGACTTTTTGTGACGTTGTGTGACGAAAGGGGGGAGGGGGTCAAAAATCGCGTGACGTCATTTATGGACGGCCCCTTGGTGAAAAAGAGCAAAGTGTTTACATTATATACTTAGTTTTTTTCGGTAAAGTCACGTTGAAGAGAAACAACAAAACAATAAAATATATATAAAACAATAAAAAAATTCTCACGACGTTTCGACCATAACTCAAACGGTCGTCTTCAGGTGTGTTGGTTCGCATAAATGTATTTTTAAACGGCGCATTTATTTATTTATAAAAAACGTTAGCGCCACGCGCAGCGATTTGGCAGTTTACCCAGGACTAGTCCATCTATATTTTGTTTATGATGTTTATGTGAGAGCCGGGGGCTTATGGGACCCCGGGATCCCGCCATAAGTTAAAATTTGGCTACTGCTGTTAATTTCCACGTGGTGATGATGATGATGACAGCCAACTTCGTTGAGCTATCATTTGTGAGGGCCAGGTAGCATTCTGAAAAAAATAACTTGTAAATACACTGATGACCTCGATAATATACGAGCTTCGTCTATTAAAAACTTTGTATAACGGGTAACTTGTAAATTATATCACGAGTACTATGATGATGCGTTCCCAGCCTTCGTAACGTGCTATTTCATACTTTAAACACAACTTAACTTAAATTTAGATTTAAAGCTTTCGTGACTGCATGGATTCAGCTTCTTGGTTCTTTCGGTAAAGTCACAACGTAGAAGGGAAATAATAAAATAATAAAAATAAAACATTAAATAAAATTATCACGACGTTTCGGTCACAACACAAGCAATGAATGAACGATGTCTTCCCGACAGTTCTGCTTCTTCACCTGAAGACGGCTGCTTGTGTTGTGGCCGAAACGTCGTGGTAACTTTATTTTGTTATGTTTTGTTATTTTATTATTTCCCTTCTACGTGACTTCCCCGAAAGAACCAAGAAGACTTCATAACTTGCCATTAATATTGTCAAGAAAGACAATTCATGTTGAAAATAACATTTACATTCTATACTGTACGGAATAAAACATAAAAAAACTAACGTAAGTAAAAGAAACATAGTAAAGACAATTTGATTCTATAATATATTATCACCATTTAAATATTAGTACTTTGAACAAAAATTGGTAAATCCGAAGTAAAATTCAACTTCGCAAGTTGAATATTCCCATGTATTTATGAGTATCTTTAAAATAGATGAGCTGAGTGGTTGTGTTCTTAAAGTTTGATTACAGCTCACCACCACCAGTTATATCGATTATCTGAAACCGGTCCTGGGCCTCCCCTAGGTCGACTCAGCCTCAAAACGAAAACCTGGTTGTCAATGTGGTACAGTGAACATCGCCACCAGGGAGACAAAGGCGGCCGGGCGTGGTGCTGGCCACCCAACTCCATGTCGTGTACCACAGCGCCGGCCTTCATAGGTGCTGCGACTCGCTACGCACAGCACTTGCCTCCGCAGCCTGCTAGAGGCTACACGGGGGAGCTTCGCCTTTGTGTGCGGCTCGCTGCGTCCGAGTGAGACGGCTTAGCCCGCACCAAGCCGCTCCTCGTCGTGACGGGGGGAGGGGGAAGCCCAGCCAGGGGGCCCCGCCCCCACGCCCCGACTCTCCACGTGACCCCCACCGGCGCGAGACCCCCCCCCCACCACCACTCCACCAGCACGAGACCCCAGGTTCGTAGCGCGAACCACTCGCTACGACCACTCGCTACAACCACACACTCGCTACAACCACTCGCTACAACCACTCGCTACAACCACACGCTACAACCACTCACTACAACCACTCGCTACAATCACACGCTACAATCACACGCTACAACCACTCGCTACAACCACTCACACTCACTACAACCACTCACTCACTACAACCACTCACTACAATCACTCACTACAACCACACATTCACTACAACCTCTCACTAACTACACCCACACACGCTACAACCACTCACTACAACCTCTCACTAACTACACCCACACACACTACAACCACTCACTCACTACAGCCACACACTCCCAAAGCTAAACTACAGCCACACACTATAGCCACTCACTACAACCACTCACTACAACCACACACTCACTACAATCACTCACTACAACCACTCACTACAACCACACACTCACTACAACCTCTCACTAACTACACCCACGCACACTACAACCACTCACTACAACCACACACTCACTACAACCACACACTACAACCTCTCACTAACTACACCCACACACACTACAACCACTCACTCACTACAGCCACACACTCCCAAAGCTAAACTACAGCCACACACTATAGCCACTCACTCCAACCACACACTACATCCACACACTCACTACAACCACTCACTACAACCACTCACTCTCTACAACCACTCACTAACTACACCCACATACACTACAACCACTCACTATAGCCACTCACTCACTACAACCACTCACTACAACCACTCACTACAACCACACTCCCAAAGCTAAACTACAGCCACACACTATAGCCACTCACTACATCCACACACTCACTACATCCACTCACTACATCCACTCACTAACTACATCCACACACACTACAACCACTCACTCCCAAAGCTAAACTACAGCCACACACTACAGCCACTCACTACAACCACTCACTACAACCACTCACTCACTACAACCACTCACTCACTACAACCACTCACTCACTACAACCACTCACTAACTACATCCACACACACTACAACCACTCACTCTCTACAACCACTCACTCACTACAACCACTCCCTAACTACATCCACACACACTACAACCACTCACTAACTACATCCACACACACTACAACCGCTCACTACAACCACACACTCCCAAAGCTAAACTACAGCCACACACTATAGCCACTCACTACATCCACACACTCACTACATCCACTCACTAACTACATCCACACACACTACAACCACTCACTACAACCACACACTCCCAAAGCTAAACTACAGTCACACACTATAGCCACTCACTACAACCACACACTACAACCACTCATTCACTACAACCACTCACTACAACCACTCACTCACTACAACCACTCACTAACTACATCCACACACACTACAACCACTCACTAACTACATCCACACACTCACTACAACCACTCACTAACTACATCCACACACACTACAACCACTCACTAACTACATCCACACACACTACAACCACTCACTACAACCACACTCCCTACAGCCACACACTCCCAAAGCTAAACTACAGCCACACACTTTAGCCACTCACTACAACCACTCATTCACTACAACCACTCACTACAACCACTCATTCACTACAACCACACACTCACTGCAACCACTCACTAACTACACCCACACTCACTACAACCACTCACTCACTACAACCACTCACTAACTACATCCACACACACTACAACCACTCACTAACTACAACCACACACTCACTACAACCACTCACTACAACCACACACTCACTACAACCACACACTCACTACAACCACACACTCACTACAACCACTCACTACAACCACACACTCCCAAAGCTAAACTACAGCCACACACTATAGCCACTCACTACAACCACTCACTCACTACAACCACTCATTAACTACATCCACACACTCCAACCACTCCTCCAACCACACACTCACTACAACCGCACACTCACTACAACCACACACTCACTACAACCACTCACTACAACCACTCACTACAACCACACACTCCCAAAGCTAAACTACAGCCACACACTATAGCCACTCACTACAACCACTCACTCCAACCACACACTCACTACATCCACACACACTACAACCACTCACTCACTACATCCACACACACTACAACCACACACTACAACCACACACTCACTACAACCACTCACTCCAACCACACACTCACTACATCCACACACGCTAGGCTCTCACTCGCTCCGAGACCCACTCACTAACAGGGCTCCTCTTTACCCAGACATTTGCGAACCCTCTCTGCGTCTTTGTGTGGGCGCCATGTCGATGCCACGTGCAACTCGTTCTGGTGAGTCTTCATTTTCAATCTCTCCCAAAACTCTTTGGTTCTTTCGCTAAAGTCTCGGACGCTTGGTGTTGCGCCCGAAACGTCGTGATTTACTTCATTTCTCTACCTACGTGACTTCACCGAAAGAAACCACAGAGTATGGATTCCTGCAGTCACGAACGCTTCAAATCAAGATTACTGATTTAAAGCTTTCGTGACTGCAGGGATTCATATTCTTGGTTCTATCGGTAAAGTCACCACCACGTAGAAGGGAAACAATAAAATAATAAAAATGTAAAACGATAAAATTCTCACGACGTTTCGACTGCAACACAAGCAATCATCATCAGGTGTGAAAACCACACCTGATGATGGAAACCGCACCTGATGATGATTGCTTGTGTTGCAGTCGAAACGTCGTGAAAATTTTATTGTTTCAGATTTTTATTATTTCATTGTTTCCCTTCTACGTGGTGACTTTACCGACAGAACCAAGAATATCAAGATTACTCTCCCAAGACGTTATCCGCTAAAAGTGCAGTTTGTAACACTTTTGAGAATTTTGCAACAACACCACGATTAAATGTGACGCCTCCTGTCCCCAGAGATCACCTGGAGAAGATTCCAGGCACGCGTTGACGATGATGGCGAACAATTTGGAAGACTCTTTGACTTTTTGAAGCTACTAACGTTACATTTGTTATCGTGTTACCGTGTATTATTATTATTCGTCTATACTGGTAGGAAGGAAGTTGTAAACTGAGTGTACCAGCCTGCAATAGATTAATGTGTCCGTCCGTCCGTCCCCTTTCAATACTTTAACGAAGTTAAATCTCGTGCTGTCGGGGTGTAAAATCAGCAATAGACAGCGCAGAGACTTGATATTACGTCTTATTGCACCCAACATTTGGAAGCCACATCATCTCATTTGGGAACTTCGCTTTTGGGGATGTGGCAAATTCACACGCAGCCCACAGCCGAGTACCATTTGCGAGGCGAAGTTCCAAGGCACCGTGACATTACTTTGCCAATCTTCCTACCAGCCCACCCTGCAGGGACCTATTTTTGCCATTAAAAAAAAACGACATTCTATTTTTTTCAGCACCCTGTATAACGCGCGGCAGTGTTTCTAGAACGCGAATCGGATTTAACGCGATAATATAATCAGAGTTTAGATTTGTAAAGCCCTTCTCAGAGACAGTCGTAATTAAGATGAACGCATTGCTACAATGCGGATGGCGAATTGGATATAACGCGATGATGGAGCGAATGGAACCGTAGCATCATCGGTACCGACAAAGTAATTTTTTTTTATTTTACCTCTTTGCAGTTGAATATCTTGACGCCTGTATTCATGCCAGAAAGGCCAAAGGGGCCTTCCATAAATGACGTCACGCACCTGTGGTGGGGGGGCGGGGTCAGACATTTGTGACGATGTGTGACGACGGGAGGGGGGAGGGTGTTAGAAATGTAAGTAGTTGCTTGTCTCACACGCACGCAGAATCATCACCGCAATCAGTCACTTGGATCGCACGCACGCAGAATCATCACCGCAATCAGTCACTTGGACTACGCCAGATCATCACCGCAATCAGTCACTTGGCTCGCACGCACGCAGAATCATCGCCGCAATCAGTCACTTGGATCGCACGCACGCAGAATCATCACCGCAATCAGTCACTTGGCTCGCACGCATGCAGAATCATCACCGCAATCAGTCACTTGGCTCGCACGCACGCAGAATCATCACCGCAATCAGTCACTTGGATCGCACGCACGCAGAATCATCACCGCAATCAGTCACTTGGCTCGCACGCACGCAGAATCATCACCGCAATCAGTCACTTGGATCGCACGCACGCAGAATCATCACCGCAATCAGTCACTTGGATAGCACGCACGCAGAATCATCACCGCAATCAGTCACTTGGCTCGCACGCACGCAGAATCATCACCGCAATCAGTCACTTGGCTCGCACGCATGCAGAATCATCACCGCAATCAGTCACTTGGCTCGCACGCACGCAGAATCATCACCGCAATCAGTCACTTGGATCGCACGCACGCAGAATCATCACCGCAATCAGTCACTTGGATCGCACGCACGCAGAATCATCACCGCAATCAGTCACTTGGCTGACACGCACGCAGAATCATCACCGCAATCAGTCACTTGGCTCGCACGCCTACGCAGAATCATCGCCGCAATCAGTCACTTGGCTCACACGCACGCAGAATCATCACCGCAATCAGTCACTTGGATCGCACGCACGCAGAATCATCACCGCAATCAGTCACTTGGATCGCACGCCTACGCAGAATCATCGCCGCAATCAGTCACTTGGCTCGCACGCACGCAGAATCATCACCGCAATCAGTCACTTGGCTCGCACGCACGCAGAATCATCACCGCAATCAGTCACTTGGCTCGCACGCACGCAGAATCATCGCCGCAATCAGTCACTTGGATCGCACGCACGCAGAATCATCACCGCAATCAGTCACTTGGCTCGCACGCACGCAGAATCATCGCCACAATCAGTCACTTGGATCGCACGCCTACGCAGAATCATCACCGCAATCAGTCACTTGGCTGACACGCACGCAGAATCATCACCACAATCAGTCACTTGGCTCGCACGCCTACGCAGAATCATCACCGCAATCAGTCACTTGGCTCGCACGCACGCAGAATCATCGCCGCAATCAGTCACTTGGATCGCACGCATGCAGAATCATCACCGCAATCAGTCACTTGGCTCGCACGCACGCAGAATCATCGCCACAATCAGTCACTTGGATCGCACGCCTACGCAGAATCATCACCGCAATCAGTCACTTGGCTGACACGCACGCAGAATCATCACCACAATCAGTCACTTGGATCGCACGCCTACGCAGAATCATCACCGCAATCAGTCACTTGGCTCGCACGCACGCAGAATCATCGCCGCAATCAGTCACTTGGATCGCACGCACGCAGAATCATCACCGCAATCAGTCACTTGGCTCGCACGCACGCAGAATCATCGCCACAATCAGTCACTTGGATCGCACGCCTACGCAGAATCATCACCGCAATCAGTCACTTGGATCGCACGCACGCAGAATCATCACCGCAATCAGTCACTTGGCTCGCACGCACGCAGAATCATCGCCACAATCAGTCACTTGGATCGCACGCCTACGCAGAATCATCACCGCAATTATGGGCCATCCATAAATGACGTCACGCACCTGGGGTGGGGGGTTTGAGACATGTGACGTCACATCAAAATGCGCACCATTAAATAAATATAGACAACACGTTCTACTTAATTAAATAGACTTGTTAATAAATGTTTCCTCCTACAACATCAGAGTGCAGCGCCACATTAAATACGCACTACAATGTGACAATAGTTTAAAGCGATTTGAAGCATGTTTTATTTTCAAAATGGAAATATGGTTTGGGGGGGGGGGGCAGAGCTTTGTGACGTCATATTTAAGGGGGGGGGGTCTGACTTTTTGTGACGATGGGGGGGTCAAAAATCGTCCAAATCGCGTGACGTCATTTATGGACGGACCCCTAAAGCCTCATTATCACTCCATACTTTTTTTTACACATACAGTCTGTTCTCCTCTTTCACGCGGCAATTTTCAAAACGCGAATTGTATATAAGGCGCGATGAATGTAAACAGGGAACGCTTTTATGAGGCGGATGCCAAATTGGATATAACGCGATGGAGCGAACGGAACTACGTCACGCCGCCTGAGTAGGAATAAGCGGCGGTCGTAACGGTTGCTGCCTCGGCGTAGCATCATCATCATCATCGTCGTCGCATAGCAAGGCGTTGGGATGCTGCTGGATGCTGCTTCTAGATGCTACCCACCACGCACCTCGGTCTTTATCCGGCCCCGCGTCGCGCAACTCACGCGCGTTATCGCGGACTGTGCTTTACCCCCCCCCCCCCCCCCCCCCCCCCCCCATATTATTTCTTATAACACGACTTTTCCATAATGCGGTGTTCTTCAGGAAGGTGACGACTACTACTGACGCGTTATAGGGGGTAGCAGACTGCATTTTAAACTTCTTCGGATTTTCGTCAGGATTTATAGCAACATCGCCTGCCGCTGGGCCGAATTACTACGACTATTTTACTGTTTTTATCTTGCCAAGTAAGGCCCAATGAGCTCTGTGGCTCTTGTGCAGAAGCGACCTGGCCCATCACAAATTTTAACTCAACACAGTGGGCTTATCATCATCATCACGTGAAACTTTACAGCAGGCAAATACTCTAAATGCGCGACGTTGGTTGTAAATGTGGAGGGGAAAACCGGAGGACCCGGAGAGAAATCCACGCGACCACGGGGAGAGAGGGAGATATAAGCAAACTCCAAATAGACAACAGGCGTCAGGGTCGGGATCAAACCCACGACCTCCTGCATACCAGGCGAGGTAGTCAAAAGCAGCGGAGCGGCTTTTGGCTAGCCATCAGATGCTACATACACAACAGTATATACTACACCACTGTACACTGCACTATACTATAGGCTACTATACACTATACTACTGTACACAACTATACACCACACCTTTAGCTAGCCATCGAACAAAAACGGTCACCGCATTGCACGGCGGTTTCATTTATACTTCTGCGGCCGTCTGGAACGCTCTGCCTTCCGATATTAGGAAGCCACTGGGAGTTATGGAACTTTAAAATCATCATCATCTAGATTTACAAACTATCTTCTTTAGAACTGCTTCTTGTTGTTGTGTTTAGTTTGTTGTCCTTCCTCCGCACCTCCGATTAGGATGGTTGGCTATGTACGGCGGTGCGAAAGAGGTTCACCATACGTACATACAAACTACTACACACGACACTGCTATATTCTAAAGACTACACGATATACTACACTAGTATACACTACACTACTAAACACTACACCACTATACTACATTGAAAAATAATGTCTGAAGAACAGCTTTTTGTGTTTAATTTGTTGTCCTTCCCCCGCACACTCCGATTGGCTATGGTTGGCTATGTACAGTGTGAAAGAAGTTCAACATACACACACACGCTTAGGGTAGGGACAGACGAACCCATGCTCAAACCCGTGTTCTCACCCACGCTGGAACCCATGAACCCGGTTCGGGCTATGGGTTAGCGCCAAGGGTTGTGGTTACGAGAACGGGTTTGAGCATGAAACCCCTGTGCTTGATGCGACTTCGGATGAGTTCTATGATCAGTTTAACACATATACAAGCACAGAGACAATTTCAACCGAGAAGATGGATTCAATCTTAGCAATCATTGGAAAGATTTGATAAACCATTTCAGGTCTTAATTGATTGTTCACGCTTACAGTGGCTTTCAGACAGCATACATTATAAAATTTCGTCTCCCCCCTCCTCTTTTCAGAATATAGATGGACTAGTCCTAAATAAACTGCCAAATCGCTGCGCGTGGCGCTAACGTTTTTTTTATAAATAAATAAATGCGCCGTTTAAAAATAAAAATACATTTATGCAAACCAACACACCTGAAGACGACCGTTTGAGTTATGGTCGAAACGTCGTGAGAATGTTTTATTGTTTTATATATATTTTATTATTTTGTTGTTTCCCTTCAACGTGACTTTACCGAAAAAAAACTAAGAATACAGTTTAACACAGTTTAACACGGCTTTCGTGACCAGTATTATCCATGAGAGGTTTTTGGGTTAGAATCGCGTAAATATACAAAAGTGTCGTTAAACCCACCGCTACCACCCGACACAGCCAATTAGTAGGGTTTGTCACGTAAACAAAACGTGACAATTTGTTGCTAGTTTACAATTGTAGGTGTTGCGGGTTTATTCTCCGACACACCGGTGTGCTGTTCGTAAGTCGAATTGTTCGTTAGTGCAACTTTACTCCTGGCGATTCCAAACGTGTTGTACGGCGTGGACACTAAACACGGGGGAATGGCTTTAAAAGTTGGAAAATCTTCCTTAGATTTAGATGCCACTGCTTCTTCACGTTCTGCAGATGTAGATGCCACCACCGCCGTCTATTGCGTGGCAGTTGAACCAACGGCTCTCGGTCCGTGCAGGCAACTAGACATAAGGACAGGTTTGTTTGTATCTCTGAAAGTTCGTAAGTCGAATGTTCGTAAGTAGAGGAGTCCCTGTACTTGGGTGGCAAGGCGTTTTTCATATGGGGGTGGAAGCATGGCCTGGAGGTCTGTGGGGCAGTGATTGGTGTACTTTTTATAGTTCCCAAGCTCACCCCCCACGACGCCCACCACCATTTCTATTCCCTCTTCATATTCTCATTGCACGGCTATCACTCATTAACACCATTAATTCAATCCATTCATCATAATTTCCTGTCAGAATAATAATTATTCTCTGTATGGCTATCACTCATTAACCCCATTCATTCAATCCATTCATCATCATCATCATTTCCTGTCAGAATAATTATAATTATATGGCTATCACTCATTAACCCCATTCATTTGATCTATGCATCATAATTGACTGTCAGAATAATAATTATTCATTAACCCCATTTATTCAGAATAATAATTATTCTCTATATGGCTATCACTTATTCAACCTCAACCATTCGATCCATTCATCATCATCATCATCAGCCACTGTCATCAATTTAACTTTCACCGAATTCACGCATCATCAGAGATTTACACACCACATTGCTTCCTCTCAACCATTTTATTCATCGCATCTCCCACCACCGTCACACGCACACACGCGTTCTTACACCATTCTTAATTCTCTCTGCAAAGCGCCTTTGATCAAGGCGCTGTATAAATTTACGTTAAGATGAGATATGATCACTCCGATTTGTCATCTTAGCTGTGGGAGACTTTTGGATTTACTCTCCAACACACAACTGGTTAGTGCTGTACGAGTAACTAATTGTCCACGTTTTGATTACGTGACAAACCTTACTAATTGGCTGTGTCGGGTGGTGGCGGGTTTAACAATACACATTTATATTAATGCGATCTAACCACAAAAAATAAACCTGTTGTGGATTTCATCTGGGTAGCTTACATAACTAAAGTTTTAAATTAAATATCATTAGTAAAATATTTATTGTGACAGTAAATAATAAACATTGTCATATTTTTTTTCCGGATTTTTCTTCTTAGCTGCGGGAGGGGAGGCTTTGCTCGGTCGACGGAGCCCTCTGGTGCAAGGGGAAGAGCTTTGGACGAGAGGGGAGGAGGTTCGGATGAGAGGGGAGGAGCTTTGGACGAGAAGGGAGGGGTTTCGGGCCGATGGAGAGGACATCAGCTCTGGTGGAGGGGAGGTCCTCTCGGTCCAAATTAAAGCAGAGGACCTTCCTGTTAAAGGGGAGGACCCCCACATCAAATTGGAGGACACCTGGGGTGGCGGAGGAGGAGGAGGTGAGCCGCAGAATGGCAATGGCGACCTTCGGGCGAAAGCGGACGACCTTGGCACTCGCCGGGACGGCGACGCGTGGCCGAGCGGCGAGGACCCTCGCACGCCGAGAGACGGCGCGGCGTCTCCCGGCGGTGACCTCGGCGTCAAGCAGGAGGACGTCCGGGCCGATGGGGATGCCCTTGGTGGGAAAGTTTCGGAGCTCCCGGTGGAAACGAGGCGACCGCCGGAGCAGCTTCGCATCAAAAAGGAGGAGGAGGACCTCCTCGAGGCTGACGCAGTGAATACCGCGGTCGGTGGCGAGGAGCCGCCCGTTAAGCAGGAGGTCCTCGTGAGCGGTGGAAACGAGCCGCGCGTTAAGCAGGAGGACCTCCGCGTTGACATCCGTATCGACGGACGCAGCCCTCGGACGACGGGGCAGGCTCCGGGCACGAAGGTGGAGGATGTTTGTACAGAGGGGGAGCAGCGTCTCGACTGCAGCGTGTTGGACCTCCCCCGGGTTAAAGAGGAGGGCGTTCAAATCAAAAGGGAGGACCTTCGAGACGACGGTGGAGAGGACCTGCGGGCCGGAGGTTCAGTTGCGAGGCCGGCGTTCCCAGACGTGGTGGAGGTGGAGGTGATGATGGAGCACGTGGATGAAGGTAGGTAGGGAGGTAGGTAGGGAGGGAGAGAGGGGAGGGGAGAGAGAGAGGAGGGAGTGAGGGAGGCAGGGAGAGGAGAGAGGGAGGGAGGGAGAGGAGCGAGGGAGCGGAGGGATAGGAGGGAGGAGACGGGGGAGGGAGGTTTGCAGGAGGGGGAGTGGAGGGGTGGAGGGAGCTTTCTCCCCCTGTATCTCTGGATCACCAGGGAGGGAACGAGTCTGGCACAGAGGCTGTTGGGCACAGCTCTTCAAATCGACGTTCCATTTGCGGCCTCCTAGCAGCTGTAATGGAGTGGCTTTTGGTTTGGGTTGACCCAAAATTCAACTGTAAACCGATTATGTTTGGGCTAGTTTCAAGACGGACTTAAAACAGTTGGGTTTTGGCTATCCGGTTGAAGCAATCGGTTTTTATATCCAATTCGATATGGACAATACAATTACTAGTTTTAACCAGGAGTGGTTACGGATCACAAAATCTAAGCGGTTATTTGAAACAAAGTAAGTTGTAACTTAATGTGCCCCATGCTTAATTTGTGTTTTCGATGATTGGCCTTCGAAAAAAAATATCTGGCCATGTCTCTTGCCCAGGGTGCGTGATGCACCCCAGGTTAAGAAGAACCACTGGCTCATTGAGATAGCTCGCTCGCACGTCACTGATGTCACAACGACGCCGCCCGGCTTCTGCTTTGCCACCAGAGTCGGACGGAGCGGGTGAGACGGCCGAACAGGGAAGGCACCGCTGCTCCGTGTGCGCCAGGGAGTTCAGCCGGAAGCGTGGGCTCCAGGTCCACACGTGGCAACACTCGAGCCACCGCCGCCACCGTAAGAAGGCCCTGCAGTGCGACCTCTGCGCGTACAGCACGAGGCTCAAGAGCGACCTGGAGAGGCACCTGCGGACCCACCATGACGACGATGAGGAGGAGGATGAGGAGGAGAGTTCGGCGAACTGGGAGCCGTCGGCGCTATCGGCCGCCTCGAGACGCACGGCACCAAGTGGACCCGTCCCTCGTAACCGCCGTGCGATACGTGCTGCAGTGGAGAGTGGACCCATCCCTAATAACCGCCGTGCGACACGTGCTGCAGCGGAGAGTGGACCCGTCCCTAATAACCGCCGTGCGACACGTGCCGAAGCGGAGAGTGAACCCGTCCCTAATAACCGCCGTGCGACACACTCGAGCCTCCGCCGCCGCCGTAAGAAGGCCCTGCAGTGCGACCTCTGCGCGTACAGAACGAGGCTCAAGAGCGACCTGGAGAGGCACCTGTGGACCCACCTTGATGACGATGAGGATGATGATGAGGAGGAGGATGAGGAGAGTTCGGCGAACTGGGAGCCGTCGGCGCTATCGGCCGCCTCGAGACGCACGGCACCAAGCGGACCCGTCCCTCGTAACCGCCGTGCGACACGTGCCGCAGCGGAGAGTGGGCCCGCCCCTAATAACCGCCGTGCGACACGTGCCGCAGTGGAGAGTGGGCCCGTCCCTAATAACCGCCGTGCGACACGTGCCGCAGCGGAGAGTCGGCCCGCCTCTACTGACCGCCGGAGGAAAGCCGCCACAGCAGCAGCAGGAGGCGAGTCCGTCTCGAATAACCGCCGGACGAGACGCGCACCGAAGAAGACGACGACGACGACGACGACGACGACGACGGAGGAGGAGGAGGAGAAGAATCTTCCCCAGGCGCGCGAAGGGACGGATAACGGACGAGGCCCCGCGGAGGCGCCCCGCCGGGCGAGGCTCCACGATTGCCCCGCGTGCGGCAAGGCGTTCTCGCGCGCCGCCCACCTGCGGCGCCACTCGCGCGTCCACGCGACCTCGCGCCCGCACGTCTGCCCCGAGTGCGGCAAGGCGTTCGCCCACGCCGACGACCTGTCGGCGCACGCCCGGGTCCACGCGGCCGACCCCGGCGGGCACCCCAACGCTTGCGCCCGCTGCGGCGCCCGCTTCCGCCTGCCCTCGCACCTCCTCGCGCACGAGCGGACGCACACGGGCGAGCGGCCGTTCGCGTGCGCCCGCTGCGGCAGGGCGTTCGCCCACGCCTCCACCCTCCGGCGGCACGAGCGGGCGCACGCAGGCGAGCGACCGCACCGCTGTGACACGTGCGGGGCGCTGTTCTCGCGCGAGTCCCACCTGCGGCGGCACCGCGGACGGAGGCACGCGCGCGGCAGGGAACGCCACGCGTGCGCGCTCTGCCCCACCGCCGCGTTCTACTCGGAGGCGGCGCTGGCCAGACACGAGGGGCGCCACCTGCGCAAGGGGGGGGCGGCTGGAGGAGCGAGAGGAGGGTGGGGGGGGGAGGAGGGGTTACTGCGAAGCCGTCGGAGCGTCGGAGCGGCCGCGGAGGCGGAGGAGTGGGCGCGGAGGAGCCGGCAACGACGACGCGGGAACGGGAGTGGCGCCCGGGACGCTCGCTGTGGCCGGGAAGTGACCGCTCCCTTTCCTCGCGCACCCCGCTGACGGAGGCGAGAAGCTGGCGTGAAACGACCGGACCGGCGGCGGCCGACTGTCCCTCAAACTTCGTGTGCATCCCGTTCCATTGTAATGCGTAATGTACTGTATGCGTGTTAAATGTCCCTTTCGCACCGCCGTACGTAGCTGACCATAGCTAATTGGAGGTGTTGGGGGGGGGGGAAGGAAAACAAGCGAAACGCAGCAACAAAAAGCAGTTCTCAAGGAATCTATTCGTCAGTTTAGATGATGGTTTAAAAGTTGTGTCGTGTTGGATATATAGGCCTTTTTCCAAAATTGATATTAATAATTATTTTGCCGATATTTTTTTTAAAATTAATAATCGATAAATAAATAAATACCCCCAAACTTACGACCTCGCAAAGCGCCAGGCAGCTGGAGGTCGTGAAAGGCCATAAATACTAAACTCCGAGGCAAAGGGGGGATACAGACCCCCCCCTCCCCTCACACACAACAGGCAGCCAGGATTTACATTATGAGACCTCCTTTGCCAGAAACAAGATATAGGAATAGGTTTTACCCTTTTAACTGGCACAAAAACTGACACCTTTATTCATGGCATCATGTTTGCAATAACCACAACACAAGCAGTCAGAATGCAAACAAAAAAAGACAACTCTGATAATAATATGCACTGTCCTTGAATTTGATTGGTCCACACCCGAGACAGCTTTTCTTAGAGCCTAGTCTCTAAGACGCCAAAAGGCGTACAACTCAAAAACAGCGCCACTATCAGAGTATTGAGGGCTCGGGGTTAGCATTTACATTATGGGACCTCCTTTGCCAGTAACAAAATAAGGTGTCAGTTTTTGTGCCAGTTAAAAGCGTAAAACCTATTCCTATATCTTGTTTCTGGCAAAGGAGGTCTCATAATGTAAATGCTCACCCCGAGCCCTCAATACTCTGATAGTGGCGCTGTTTTTGAGTTGTACGCCTTTTGGCATCTTCTGGTCCAACACCAGTGGAGACTAGGCTCTTAAGAAAAGCCGTCTCGGGTGTGGACCAATCAAATTCAAGGACAGTGCCAATATTATCAGAGTTGTCTTTTTTTTGTTTGAATTCTGACTGCTTGTGTTGTGGTTATTGCAAACATGATGCCTTGAATAAAGGTGTCAGTTTTTGTTGTGCCAGTTAAAAGGGGTAAAACCTATTCCTATAGGCAGCCAGGAGACAAACAATAAAAAGTAATAAACCAAATCAAAGAGAAAAAAAGGGGGGGGGGGGAATTTACTAACGAAGCTCTAGGAAAATTCCAGCCTTCAAAGACTCCATCTTGGAACTCCATCTTGGAACTCCCAGACAATCAGACGCCACGCACAGGCGAGTTCTAAAAACATTTGTCCCCTTTGTTGCTACTAATGCAACGGTTAAAGTTCAGAACTTAGCAACAAATGAGTCGACATCATAAAGAATCCACACACTCACTAATAAAAACCAAACTACAATCTACGTAGCGGGTTATTACTTCACATACATAACATTAACACTGACGTTATTCACTTTAAATTGTATTACATCTTGCCGTTACTTGACCTTACAAAAACCAAGAAATATGAATTCCAACAGTCAAGAAACTTACCTCTTGAACTCAGGACATCAAAAATAAAATTAAAATAAAGAATAACTCAAGCATAACAGCACCGATCCCCAGATACAGACAGGGGCACGAAAATTAATAAACCCTAGGAAGTGCGTCGTGATGACGGTGTTAAATCACAAATCTTGGAAAACATAAACCAAACAATATTTGTACAGTGTTAAACCGAGAGCCAGCCGGAGGAGATGAGGCGGAATAGATCAAACTTACACAACCAAGATAAATGTGTCCCATAGAGAAAGACAGCCTCCCGGCCGCCTTTGTCTTCCCGCAGCACGGGAGAGAAAAGAATTTAACGCCAGAGCGAGGGAAATTACTCTTTATCCCAGGGGCCATCTGTGCCCACGGATGTGCGGTGACTTAATAAATGACACACACACGGACACGTATGCCCACACCCACAACACCAGAGTGAGATCAAAGAAAGATCCGATCCGTTGTGAGAAGGAGCACCAAGGAGGAAAGGGGAGGGGGGAATTCCTCAAAGCCTCGCAGCTTCCCAAAGAGCGAAAACCGGGAAAACAAGTTTTAGTTAAAAGAAATACAAAAAAACCAGACTACAATCCACATAGCGGGTCACACATAACATTAACGCTAACGTTATCCACCTTAAATTACATTACATCTTGCCGTTACACGACCTTACAAAAACCAAGGAATATGAATTCCAACAGTCAAGAAACGTACCTATTAAACTCAGGACATCCAAAAATCAAATAAATAACTCAAGCATTACAGCACCGATCCCCGGATACAGACGGGGGGGACGAAAATTAATAAACCCTAGGAAATGCGTCGTGATGACAATCGCAGTTCTTAGGAAACAGACCACGTGATATTTGTGCAGTATTAAACCGAGGGCCAGCCAGAGAGAAATGGAGCCTCCCGGCCGTCTTTGTCTTCCCGCAGCACGTGATAAGAATTTGCATACGCAGGCAGAGAGCGTCTCTTAAAAATAAAAAAAACACCACGATGGGAACACTACTACGACACACCTTGAGTCACGTGCAGAATCATAACTGCAAGTGGTACGGTTTCAAACTACGAGGTAAAATAAATGTTTCAACTTCAAAGCCTCAACACACCCGTTGTGCGTGTCTAAAAATGTCACACCAAAGGAAGAGGAGGGGGGCAGAGGACTCGACCGGAGGGGACACCCCCCACTCCTTCCAGATTAATTGGTACAGAGGGCGAGACAGAAGGACGCACGCGGGGACATCTGAAGCATCCGCTTCCTTTTGATGATGGGATGGCTTGAGTAAGGCGACAGGGGACCATGCCTTGATTAAACTAATATTACCTCAAAAAATGACGCACACGGACACACGACAATCCATCCCCCCCCCACCACACAGAGCGAGATCAAAGAGAAATCCGGTCCTTTGTTGTGAGAAGGTGGAGCCAGAGAGATAAATTTTGGCATAAAAAGAGACCCCCTCCCCCGAGCATCGAATCATCACAGCTACCAGCGGCAGAAGACGTCGACCAACCCGAAGATACCAGCCAAGCACCAACGCAGAAGAAGACTCAACAACTCACCCAGCATGGCGGGGCTCGCTGTTTAGCGACATGCCACGCCATGCGAATGCAGCACCATCAGAAGAAATATCGCTCGAAAAGCATTCCGCTCTGAACCTTGACTCACAAGAGTCACTGCAGTTCTAGCTACAGTGAGGGAAAAAAAGTATTTGATCCCCTGCTGATTTTGTACGTTTGCCCACTGACAAAGAAATGATCAGTCTATAATTTTAATGGTAGGTTTATTTGAACAGTGAGAGACAGAATAACAACAACAAAATCCAGAAAAACGCATGTCAAAAATGTTATTTTTTTTATTTAAAGCTTTCGTGACTGCAGTAATTCATATTCTTAGCTCTTTCGGTAAAGTCACGTTGAAGGGAAACAATAAAATAATATATATAAAAAATGTTATTAATTGATTTGCATTTTAATGAGGGAAATAAGTATTTGACCCCTCTGCAAAACATGACTTAGTACTTGGTGGCAAAACTCTTGATTTGGTGCTTTCGTGACTCCAGGATTTACTCTTTGGTTCTTTCGGTAAAGTCACGTAGAAATAGAAAATAATAATAAATACATAATAGCATGCGATATTTCGACTGCAACGCAAGCAATCATCATCAGGTACAAATGAAAGAGCTAAATTTAAGAAGGATAAAACAGAGAGGCCGAGGGGAGACGGAAAGAGATGGAGAAGCACACTAAATCAATTTTTTTTAGTAATATTTGGAAATTAATATAATGCAACACAGAGGGTCGGTCAAAACACACAATTAACGCATGGTCTGGTTGATTAACGTTATTCCAAAGATTGCTCAATTATAAGTTAAGTGTGAAATTTGAGAGAGAGAGACAAGACACACATACGGAGACACAAATACAGAACACAAGCAGAGAGAGAATACACAGAGAGAAATGTAATGCAATACCGCGCAGATAGCCGGCCAACGTAACAGTCAACACCTTACCTGGCTGATTAAGTTCCTCATTTCTACTTTGTGTGTTTAGTTTGTTGTGCTTCGTCTGCACAACCGATGAGCAGTTGGCTACATACGGTGCCAATAAAGTTAAACATACACACATTGCACTATACACTACTATACACTACACTATTATACACTACACACTACCATACTGTACAATACACTACACTAGCATCCATTGCACTACACCACTATAATACATTGAGAACTAATTTATTTAGAGCTTTTGTGTTTTTAGTTTGCAGTCCTTACCCCACTCCGATTAGCACGGTTGGCTACGTACGGTGCCAATGAAGTTCAACACACGTACATAAAACATACATACAACATACATACACGCATACAACATACACACACACATACAACACACACAACATACACACAACATGCATACAACATACATACAACATACATACGACATACACACAACATACACACAACACACATACAACATACATACGCCATACAATATACATACAACATACATACAATATACATACAACATACATACAACACACACAACATACACACAACATACATACAACACACGCACAACATACATACAACATACACACAACACGCATACAACATACACACAACATACATACACACAAGACACATACAACATACACACAACATATACACAACATGCACACAACATGCACACAACATACACACAACATACACACAACATGCATACAGCATACATACAACATACACACAACATACACACAACACGCACACAACACACATACAACACACACAACATACACACAACACACATACACACAACATACATACAATATACATACGGATGCGGAGCTCTCGTTTTGTCTGCGCTCGCGTTTTGCTCCGAGCTGCAGTTCCTTCGGGATAGCCTCTGTGATCAATGGGCGTGCGGTCAGGCTAGGTGCGTCACTCGCTCGGTGAGAAATTCATTAACAAAACACTACCGCTCGCCCCGAAACAAACACACACACACACAGACAAAGATCCCCCGTGTAGCCTTAACAGACTTTTGGGGCAAGTGCTGTTAGCTAGCAGCACCTATGAAGGCCGGTAACGGTACACGAGGGGG